AATAATTACCAAGGGATTTAAATTCATATTGAGTAAATTTTGTAAAAATCGGATTTAATTTATGCGTTTTATGGGGAAATCCAGGAAAACGCTTTTACAGATATTTCAAACGAATTAAGTCTATTTTAGTGTCTAACGATTACTAATGTTTGGTGGAAATTCATCGAGGAAAGATAACATCATGTGGGCCTTAAACTTCGAACAAGAATTTTCATAGAAAAAGAGCATAAAAAATTACATTTTACTTTGTATCAAATGTGTATTGACCGATTTCTGGAAAAGAACTTAACTATCATATTGTTACGTTCATGCAGAGGTTCATTCTTTCCGGTCGAAGTTCTAAACAACTATATCAAGATACCTTAAGATTTCTAATTGGCTAAATAACTAGTATAACTATCCAAGCAGATTTTCCAAGATTTATTTATGAATAATGATTTTTTTTTACAAATAATGAAAATTTTATGCGGCATCTCTCGGACCATGCGGGCGGTGGACGCAAATGGCTTTGACTCCATTTCCCACGACCTAAGTAAAATTTTAAAGAGTCAAAAAGTCAAAGTCAAAGTCAAAGTCCACTAGAGTTTTTTTTTCGTCCATGAAAGTTTTTCTCGCATATCAATATTTNTATTTGCAGATGACGCAAATGTGTTATATAAATCAAAGGATATTAAAAACTACAACTCAATATTAAGTGAAGAATTAGATAAGTTGTCGATATGGTTCAAAAGTAATAAATTGTCAATAAATGTTAAAAAAACAAATTATATGGTATTCAGAAACTCGAAAAGAAGAAAAGCAATATCAATTAATGTGGAAATAGATAGGATTAAAATTGATAAAGTTAATGAAACAAAATTTCTTGGAATTATTATAGATGATCAGTTGAAATGGAAGTCACAAATCAATCATGTATGTTCAAAAATCTCCAAAGGTATTGGAATGATAAACAAGATAAGATTCCTTCTCCCAAAAACAACACTCAAAACACTCTACTACACATTAGTATATCCATACTTGCACTATGGAAATATTATTTGGGGGAGTACTTATCATAGTAAATTACAAAGACTACGTATTCTACAAAAAAAAGCTATAAGAATAATAACTAATTCAACTTTTTATACTCACACTAGTCCTCTTTTTCACACTGAGTCTATTCTTAAAKTAGATGACATTAATATATTAAAAGTCGCTTCTCTAATGTACCTTTACAATACTCATCAATTACCTGWATCATTCAATAATTTTTTCAAGCTTAACTCTGAAATTCATCATCATAATACAAGACAATCACAAAATTATCACACCATTTCAAAGAAAACAAAGCTTGCACAGTTTTCAATTTCATATGTAGGACCATTGGTATGGAACAATTACAGCAGATTGAAACAAAATTGTAATAATATTTTTAAGTTTAAGAAATTAATAAAAAAAGAATTATTAGCTAAATATTGCAGCAATGTATGATTTTAAGTGATTTACTTGTGATTCTTTAAATCAATGTAATAATTATTTCATTCAATGAAGATTTAAGATAAATAGATAAATAGTTATTTTTTAAGTATATACATTAATAATAAATTATAATTATTTAAAAATTTATTTGTCAAAGTTAATTATTTTTTTTTTCTCATCTTTTGTAACTGGAAAAAATGTTTTTTTTTTAAAGAAAATATGTAAAGGGGTCTATATTTCATAAGCACTTGTTGCTTTTCATAGGCTCCTATTCTTAGTCATTACAAATTATTATTCTATAAATTACAAAGTATATAAGCATGTAATAATGATTATGAATGAAATAAATTGATTGATTGATTGATTGATTGATTGTTGCGCAAGGACACAACGTGATCGTCCGGTCTGGGAATCGAACTCGGGCCTTTCAGACCTGAGTCCGGTCCCCTAACCACTAGACCATCACGTTTCTCACGAAATACTATTTCTGTTATTAGTCGGACTAGCCGAAGGCGAGGTCCGACTTTAAAATTACCTTTTAGCCAATCTATCTGTGTGTCATGTCGCGTTTGGACCACCGGAAGCCTTAAGAATTTAATGATTAACTATTGGGTTGACTGTGTTATTACATGACCGGAAGCTCAAACGTATTGATGTACGAATATCGTTAGTAAATATTATATGCTACTTGCGCTTTTATATGACAAAAAGACTATTCGTTTACAAATGTGGTATCTGTGATCTCATCGGAATGCATCAGTCTAGGAATCATAAGTACGTGCATGTGCAGATCGCTTGGTGCTTCGAGTAGTATGCTTACGAAACTAAATCAATGGCCTTTCTAGCGTTAGGCAGTCCTGTGTGGGCAAAGATTTCAAATTATAACAAGAAGAAACATTTTTTATCAATAACAAAAAGGCGAGATGATTTTATGGTATCATTTACTTTTGGGCCTKAGAGGTCAACGTTCACTAGCTTAGCATCACATAATCAACATAATCTACATACCAACGTTTGATTTTATCAGTGAAAGCAAGGACTCCTTTAAAACGTTCATTGCTGGTATTAATTACATGACCTTTTAGGTCAAGTTTATTTTTATTTTGAACTAGACGCTCTTATTAGACCGTGAGTACGGCTATTTTGGAGAAACAATAAATTTTTAATCTAATTTTTATCTTTTATGTAATATCCTGCTGTCT